CAGCCAAGGGCGCAAGGCTGCGGCTCTGACTCCCTCCGCCAAGTGCTGCCGCCCAGAAGGCCCCGAGCAGTGGGTAACGGGGTGGGTGGGTGGATTTGGGGAGATGGGGAGGGGGAGCGTTGTGAGCGCACAACCAGAGCCTGAATACCAGCTGACACATGCCGCCTCCACCCTGATGGGCCCTGCTTTGGAGCCGCCAAGCGGCTGGGGAGGGAGAGCAGAGTAGGGGGGCAGGAGGGGCGCAGTCCCTGGTTAGCAGGGGAGGAGGGTGTGGGAGGACTCCCACGGGGGCCAGGGCAGAGGCCACCAGTTGGCAGCCCTGGAAAGCCCTGGGCTCTCAGTCCCCCTGGGTTCCCTGCCAGGCTGCCTGGCAGGGCGGTGGGCAGAGCTTCAGGCCTTCCCGGGACTTGCAGGGGCTCCTGGCCCCTCCAGGGTGGCTTCTCTCTGCGGCACACAGCAGGCGGCACCCTCATTTAGATGCATCAAGGACAAAGAACCTGAGGGCACAGAGAGAGAGACTCGCCCAAGGTCACAGAGGGTGTCAGGCATAGGAGCAAGATGTGGCCCCTCGGCACCCCCCCTCCGCCATCTCCTACCTCCGCCCTAACCCTCCCCGCTCTTGGCTCCCCTCAGCTTGGAGGGGGGCTGCGCTGCTGATCCCACTTCCACTGTCGTCACAGAGCAGGCCGAGGGTGCAGAGTTAAAGCCTGCCGTGTGCTTTAATAATAATAATAGTAATAGCTGACACGTATGAAATACTCGTTTTATGCCGGCTCCGTGCAAGCCAGATGGTGCATCAGCCACTGATTCTTCCCAACAGCCCTGTGTCAAGGGCTGCATGAGGCTCAGAGATGTGCAGTTACTTGCCCAAGGTCACACAGCTAAGAAAGGCTCTCACCCGGGAGGCAGGGTTCTCGGGCCCCAGGTGGCCCTCTGCCACTGCCTGGCTCGCTGGTTAACTTGGGGGGCACCACACAGATGGCTTGTGGGCCTCAGTTTCCCCATCTGGGAGATGTGAATAGTGAGTCTTTCTTTCCCAAAGAGGGGTCAAAACAAGAGGGCTCCCCCCGCACATGGACTCAGATCCCATCCACCCGCCCGCAGACAGTCCTCCCCTCCCCCCCAACGGAGCTGTTCTGTGCCAGATGCTGGCCAGCCCAGGCCTCGGAACCTCCAGAGGGCAGAAGCTCCTCCTCCGAGAACACAGCTCCCTGTGATGGTTAAGCATTTGGCCTGCAGGCAGCACTGCTGCAGGGTGTGGGGTTCCCTGGCAGGCAGGGTGAGTGATGGCCCCCCCAGGCAGGGTCATCGATTCCTGGGAACCGCCCTGCTCCTCCATCTTCGTGGAGACTGGCTGCTGTCACAACAGCCAACAAGAAGCAGAGGAGGATCTTACTGCGATCTTTAAACACCGGGGAGGGAAGGGTCTGTCGGGTTACTGCCAGAGGGTTTGTGGGTGCTGCTGCAGACCAGGTTTCAAACAGCTCTCCGCCCGCCGCCCCCCCCTCCCGCCCCCAGGACCCCCTGTCTCTCCAACGCGCCGAGGCCAACAGGCCTGTCTTCCATCTTCCCGTTTCCAGGCCCTGGGGATTATGGGGGAGTGGAAAGAGCACTGCCCTGGGAGTCAGGGTGATGGATTTCTCCCGGTTCCGCCCTTAACGAGCTCTGTGGCCTGGGGTCACCACTCTCCGCTCCTGGCCTCAGTTTCTCCATCTGCATCATGAGGGGCTTGGCTCCAGAAGGAGGTCCCTGTGAGCTGATCCTGGGTTGGCCACAGGCCAGGCTGTAGCACCCTCCAAGAGCCGAGTTTCCAAGTGAACAATGAAGTGCTGTTTCCCAGG